TTTGATTAGAGATACTCATTGTGGGCGGGCATGGCTCAGTTGTTAATGACTTTGACTCATAACTAAAAGAACAAGTGAAACTAAATAATTGCCAAACACAGTGTAGCAAAATAGCAGTTTCAGTGACAGTTTCCTCTGGTCCCTAACCACTATGTTTTCCTGGTAAAGCATGATCACTCTTCCCCTTCCTACCAGGAGGAGACCTTATGTCTTGAATTCCTTCTGTAGTCCTTATTGGAGTTTAGAAACATCTTCCAAATATATACCTTAGATTGCCACAAGATGGCAGGATTACATCTCCAAGGAGAGATACCCATTTAATGGGCCATTTGGAGGAAATTCAGGCTATCATCCTACCATCAGTTCTAGGAATGCCAAAGCCACAGGAATGCCAAACTCAGAGCCACCAAGGAAACCATTACCTGGGATCCTGTTTAGAATGTGAATACAGCCTTGGGATCTGCCTTATATCTTCATGAATCACAAATTTTAGAATAAATGCATTATTGTTTTCTCTTTACCAAATACTTATTTTCTTAAACTCAAGAACATTCGTTTTTTTTTAATTTCTCTGTGCTTTGAGGCCATAGGCCTGATACAGATTATCACTTTCAGCTGAGAGTCCTAACCTATGAGTGAAGCACGAAATCCATGTGAGCTTGCAGAAGAAATACAGAAGAGAATATCAAGTGCACTTATTAGAGACAAGGTTTCTCTGTAAAGGTGCTTGGTTAATAATGTAAAGTGTTCAAGTGCTGTGAGGAATGGTCAAGCACCCTTAAGTGCTTTAGAGCTGCAATGAGAGACATCTCCATATGATGCCTCTCACCGTTGCAATGCCTGAGCTAAGTAAGAGGGACAGGAAAATGAAAGGGTAGTGGTTAATCACCAACTTCAACATGTAGACTGCAGAGAAGAGGCCATGCCTTGCAGTTCTCTACTGCTGTGGAGGAGGTAAAACAAAAACCTGTGAGTCCACTAATTGGGAAAACCTTTAAGTGTGTGGCAGAAGGTCAATGACTTTCTGAGTTTAACAGAGAATTTATTCCTACATTACTATAATGGGATATTGGTAAATCTATTCATAATGAAAAAGAACCTATAAACTGGGAAGTGTTTTCCTACTGTCAAGTTCTGCTAGAACATAGACCCATCATTAAGATGGAATGCTTCCCAGCACAAGGAGCATCATCTGCGCTCCTTCTCACTTCTCTCTGTTACCTTTGTTTGGTTTTAGGAATTCTACTGCTAGGAGAAATTGTAGGGTGAGAAAAAGGTAATTCAATCTCTGAATGGGGAGGAGCTCAGCTGCTGAGCAGTGGCCTGAACTGTGCAAGCTCCTGCACTCAATAACCTGCTGTTAGGTAACAAGAGTATAAGGGTGATGTTATCTCAGAGAGTCAGGCTTATTCAGGGCCTTGTCCTTTTGAAAAACAGAGGTTCTGCTTGGAGCCCGTATCTCCCACTCTAACCTCTGTCACTGTGAGGTTGGGAACTTAGCAAGCTGAGTTCTGCAAGACCACAGGTGTGATACAAGTTTGACTAGCTTCTGAGGCAGAGATTAACAGGGTGGAGAGAAACTGTTTTCAAGCAGATGTCCATTTCAATAAAACTCACAAGCAAACAAGGAACAGCTGTAGAGAAATCACGTAAACTAGCTCACAGCCATCAAGGAATTGGTGGTACCCTCTAGAGACTCAACAAAATTGCCTGAACCCTCGAGACATATGATCTCAGATTAGCATGCACAGGTGATGTTGCCATCACACCACAAACAAGTCAACTTCAGAGTCCTGAGTAAGTTTCTCTTCCCACATGTGAGGTCGTTGACATTCAGCCTACATGTCTCTCTGATCCCAGACAGTTGCATGGAAGGAAATTGTGACCAGCAACTTCTAGGATTTTTTCTATGAAATATAAATCTGAGGGAAATTGATTACAGGTGTGTGTGTGTGTATGATGTTTGTGTAGGATTTAAGCAAAACATACTCAAAACAGTTGTCACAAAGCTAGAAACATAGTAAAACAACCCACTTATTATTCAATCTACAGTAAATACACTAAAAACTCAAGTTATTATAGCTGTAAAGAGCACTAATTATTCCTTTATTTATTATTTCACTAACTCACTCACTCATTAGTTGACACCTAAGATCTGAGAAACAAATGTGCTCACCATATTCCTGTCTTTCCTTCAATCCCCCTTGGGAGTCTCTTTGCTCTAACCCTAGATGAAATTGATATAAATCTGCACACAGAGCAGAGCAGTCAGAGTGGAGACAGAATGGAGATTTATGTAGAAAACACCTGGTTGCCATCCACACACTGGTCATTACCATAACCACATTGACACCCACTCATGCCCAGGGGATGGGATGATTGCCTCCTAAGATAGAAGAGAGTTCTCCCAATAAGAAGAAAAGAGTCAGTGAAGAACTGTTCTGTTTGGACTCTAGATTTAGACAGTACCTAATACAACATAATAAAATACAAAGCAATAGCAAGCCAACTAGATTAAGCAAAAAAACCTGAAGTCTAACTGATTGAATTTTAGAATGTTTAACACTTGGTAAGAGAGTATCAGATGAGCCTATAAAACAGTACCGTCATTTTGTTTTAGGAGTGTGCTTACAGCAATGTGCACAAGAGCACTGAGCTGAGTGATGGAGTATAGTGCCTTGTGAATGGGGTGCTGCCAGCCTCTATACAGATATTCTTTGACTGATGGGCTGTGCGGGAGAATGTTTACCTCCCAGAGAACCGCTGAACTAAAGTCTCACTCTAGCTTTCATATGTTATCATTCAGTACTTAAACATGACCAGAGGCCAAAACAAATAGGAATCCTCAGCCTTGGAACTTCAGCCTCCAAACTTGGGTGAAAAATTACCCTCTTTACTGTACATAGTCAGTTTGCCTTAGGCATTTGGTTAATGTGACAATAAGAACAGCCACAATCCCAGATCCGTTACTAATGTATCCCAATGTAAATGAGTTAGAACGAGGCCCTTGTTCCTACAGTTTGTACTTGAGGATCCCTAAAAAAGAAGCTAGCCAGTCTTTTATCTAGGTTCATTTTATGTTTATTTGTGTGTATGTGTGTATATGCTATACATACTAGTGAGTGCATGTGTCCATGGAATCCAAAGACATGGGGCACCCTGGAACTGAAGTTAACAGGAGACAGTGAGCTGCCTCTTTTGGCTTCTAAAAACCCAGCCCAGGTCCTCTGTAAGCACAGTAGGTGCTCATGTACTTTTAATACCTAAGGTATCTCTAAGCATGGAGGCCATCCTAAATCCAAACATTGCTGAATTAAAATGCGTACTTTGTGATGTACTTGCATCTGGGCACTTAGCAAGGAGCTCAAAACTCAGATTCCCAGGCATAATGCAGGAGATCATGAGCATGCAATCCCTGAGTGGAATTTAGGGATCCACACTTCACAAGAGCACTAGGAGATTTCTACAGAGTCAAAACTGAACAGCAGAGGATGCAGAAATTGTGACCTAGCCACTCTGCAGGGATTTGTTGGACTTTTAAGACTCATGTGGTTGTTCCTCAGAGAGAGGGTAATATATAAAAGCATTTATTATGTCCCTGCTCCTGCTGTACCTTAAATGTCAGAGGGAGTTGTAGATGAAGGCCACACTCTATGCCTGGAGAGTATTTTCCAATCTTCCTTTGTGGTTTGAGGTTTCTATAGAAACTTATGTCTTAGGCTTCAAAGCGTTCACAATTTTCTGAGCAAGACCAGGTAGCATATATTTTTGGCTTTAATGGGCAATGTAAAATAATCTTACATACTGTAACCTGTGTGCATTTTTAATTTTTATTTACTTTAGCTATTTTAAAATTCCAGAACCATACCATATCACATGATCTATAAGAGAAAAAAGGTAAAAATGAAAAGAAAAGCAAGCAAGGAGTGGAGTTTGGTTCATAGGATCAGTGTGCTGACTCCTCACTGAGCCCAGGGACACGGTCTATGTGGAAATTCTCTGATCTGTCCTTGTGCTCCGGGTCCTATTTAAGTGTTCTCATGCAAGAGGCCTCAAGGAAGTCTCCTGTTTACTTTCTGGGCACAGGCACAGCATCCTGACACAGGGCTGGTGGAGTTCAAATGGTGTAATGCAATGTCTGTTAGGTCACTATTAGGATAGGGAAAGCCACTTTGTGTGTCATCCACCACCATGCTCGTTTTGTTCTTTCTGCCACTCCAGAATTAACAGCACTGACATGGTCATTATCATGTTGTTCCTCTTGTCACTTGATACAGCTTTAAACATCATGGACTCCAGTTCAGAGCAAAAGGCAAGGTTGTGTTTCTATGTGTGAGGGAGTATGATCAAATATATGTAGGGAGATACAAGACCACTCTCTTTGTAGGACAGTTGCCTACTTGTATATACCCTACAGTGCAATCTGCAATTGTTCTCCTACTTCCTGCCAAACCCTTCCTCACATTTCTACCCGCGTCTACTGTTTTCGTGTGAACCTTTTTTCTCTATACCAGAGGTTCCAGAGGATTTTTTTCACCTTAAAATCTTCTTTGCTGGCAAAATTTATATAAGAAATTGGTGGCCCGGGCCGTCAGGCCGCGGTGCAGCCTGAGGAAGCCTCGGGCTTGGGGGCCGGCACCGAGCCGCCGCCCCGCTCCCCGGGGCCCGCACAGCCGAGCCCCGGCCGACCCCGGATACCTACACGGCCGCGACCGAGCGCGAGGCGAGCACGATGGCGATGTCCATGCAGCGGGGAAACAGAGGATAATGGCGTCTGCAGCGCTGTCGCCTGGAGCGCCCTCCTCTCTCTGGCTCTCCCTCACTCGCTCGCTCCCTCTCCCTCCCTCCCTCATGCTCGTTCGCGCACTCTGGAGCGATGGGAGGGGGAGGGGAGCAAGGACGCTGCTCTCGCGAGATCTGAGGCGGGCATTCACGTGTGGCTGGAGGGGGGCGGCTCCAGGGTCTCTGCGAACCCCAGGGGAGCCCCGCGGGGGTTGGAGCCCAGGACTCCGGTCATTTCTCTGCAATAGAGGCTTTGCATATTCCACTGACAGCCCAGCTGGAGACAGTGTCATCAGATCTCATGCTGCCCTGAGGAGCAGTGGATGTGTGTGCTCTTATTTTGAAAATGAGTGTAAATAGTGCTGTATTAAGAGTTGAAACCTGGCTCTTGGCAACATGGCATGTTAAAGTGCCTGTACCCTGGCTGGAAGCATGTGTTAACTGGATCCAAGAAGAAAATGAAAATACTAATTTGAGCCAAGCACAAGTAAATAAACAGGTGTTGGAGCAATGGCTTCTTACTGACCTGAGAGACTTGGAACATCCTCTCTTACCTGATAACATTTTAGAAATCCCAAAGGGAGAACTGAATGCATTTTATGCTCTGCAGATCAATTCCTTGGTTGCTGTAAGTCAGCCTGCATATCCCCAGATACAAAAGCTGAGAGGAAAGAATACAACTAATGATCTAGTTTCAGCTGAAACACAGGTTACCCCAAAACCATGGGAAGCAAGGCCTTCATGGATGCTCATGCTGCAGCTCACCGATGGTGTCACACAAATCCAAGGGATGGAATATCAGTCTGTTCCAGCTCTCCATGGTGGTCTTCCTCCAGGTACAAAAATTTTGGTTCATGGACGAATTTCCTTTCGTCTTGGTGTTCTCTTGTTGAAACCGGAAAATGTGAGGGTATTAGGGGTTGAGGTAGATGGTCTTTCAGAAGAATATGCTCAGGAAAAAGTACTTGGAAGACTGATTGGTGAGCTAGACCCTGCAGTCTCAGTTGTACCAAATGACTCTGCTCACAATGTGCCCAGAGTTTCGGGGTCGGGGTCAGACCCTGCTTTAGGACCTTCAGATGAAGAGCTCTTGGCAAGTCTTTATGAAAGTGAGGGACCTGCAGCAAACGATGATGCATCCATGGGAGCAAGCGGCTTCAGCGCAGGCAGTTCCTTAAATACTACTCCCACAGGCCAGTCTGATTTTGAGCCAGGATGGAATATTTCTTCAAGGCAAAAGGAGAAACCAAACCAATCTGTGCATTTCTCTAATGGAGAGTTTGATGACTTTTCACTGGAAGAGGCCTTGCTTTTAGAAGAAACTGTCCAGAAAGAACAGATGGAAACCAAAGCATTGCAGCCACCAACTTTGAAGAAAAACACAGATAGATGTGTAGACTCACATAAACCTAATACTCAGAACCACACTGGTTTGATTCATAAACAAGGAAACAACAATTGCAATGAAAAAAAATTATCTGAACAAATAATTCATGAAGACAAATTTTTTGACTGTCTATCTGCTAGAGACCATCATAAGAGACTCCTAGCCCATGACTTTACAAATGACAGTAAGACTTTGGGTGTAGATAATACGATAAAAGAAAACATCGACAGTTCACGTGAACATTGCTTAAGTAATAAAATGTTAAAGAGAAAACAAGGAACCTGTCTATCAGAAAAGAGTTCAGAGATCTCTGATGAAAATAGCTACCCTTTTCAGACTTGTTCTTCAGAATCACTTGAGAATAATACTGATCTTTCCATCGGCATGGACTTAAATTCTCCACCTTTTATCTATTTGGTTGTTCTAATGGCCAGAAAGCCAAAGGAAGTTACCACTGTGAAAGTCAAAGCCTTTATTGTCACTTTAACTGGGAATCTCTCAAGCTCTGGTGGCTGTTGGTGTATAACTGCAAAGGTTTCTGATGGCACCGCATATCTAGATGTAAATTTTATAGATGAAATACTTACCAGTATGATAGGGTTTTCAGTACCAGAAATGAAACAATTAAAAAAGGACCCTCTTAAATATCAGACCTTCCTAAAAGGGTTACAAAAATGTCAGCGAGATCTGATAGATTTGTGTTGCCTAATGACTATTTCATTTAATCCTTCTTCAGGTGAAGCCATGGTACTTGAATTACAAGATGTCAGTGTGGAGCACCTTGAGAACCTAAAGAAGCGGCTAAAAAAATAATTGGCCAAAATGCTATTGGAGTATACCTTAAGACATGCAAATATTTGTAATCAAATTTGTTCATATTCTTATTTTTTAAATTCCGTAAAAGAAGAAAAAGCTTCAGAGCTTAAAAAATGGATGATATTGCTCTGTTCAAGAGGCTTTCTGCCAAGCCTGCGTTTGACCCTCTGGTCCCTTGTAGCTTAAAAGAGGAGCCAACTCCCAGAATCTGTTGATCATCCTCCACACATGCAGCATGGAATTCATACAGATACCCACACGTATATACTAAATGACATTTAAAAATAAAGATATTTAATTAAAAAAAGAAATTAGTGAACAAATCAAATATTTACTGATAATAAAACATAAACCTATTTTAATGATTCTGTAGTATACGCATAATTTTACTATTTACTCAAAATGGTAGTTAATTTGCACATTGATGAGAAGGATGCACTTGTTTATTTTTACATCAAGTATTAAATCTAGAACAAAACTTTAAATATCAGAAATGCAGAATATCTCAATATTTTTCTTAGAGTTCATTTCTATTTTATTTTGCAGTTGTGCTGAGGATGCTGCTTCTAATAATCACTTAGACAAAATGACAAAAGTATGTTTAGAGACATGTTAAATTGCTGAAAATACTTACCTAACTCCCAGCTAGCTAGATTTAATTTAATGAGTACGTGCATGCATTCATGTGTATGTTTGTGTGTGTGTGTGTGTAGTGTGTGTGTGCAGTTCATGTCAGGTGCTCAAATAGTATGAATTTAAAAACTTCAAACATTCTGTAACAATAGGCTAAGATAACTAGCTCCAGACTTTCACAAGGAAGAATGTGGATAGAATAATGAGAAGTCTCTGTTTTATGTAATTAAACCATTTCATAATCTTACAAGAGCAGAAAACTTCCTTCGTCCAATAAAATCCTTAAAGATCACAATGTGCTCATCTTCCATCTGAGCCAAGGAGTTTCAGGTAGCATTTGTTGGCACTCCTTGGTGTGTTGGCATGCATAGTGTAAGGTAATGTACTGAGTAAATACATCAGGCTTCACAGTAGTTGTGCATATGACATGGGTCAGTACTCTAGAAATGCCTCAGATAAATTGTGTGTTTGGTTTTGAACTTACTTTTATTGGTTATGCATTCAGAAACTTTTTTCTGTTGTCAGAAATATCATGATTCCCACATTCAGTATGAGGCTGAGAGTTATGATGAAGAAATAGTTTTCTAAACAGCTGCTCTCCCTCAACTTGAGCTGTTCCCGTCCTTGGAAATATTCTGACTCCCCTTTTCTAAAAGGTCTATAAGCCACCTTGTTGTAAGTGTATAAGAAAAATATATTCGTTTAAATTTCTCTATTTCACATAGCTCCCTCAAATTCAGTAACAAAGGGTATTTATTATTGATTAATGGTACAAACCTAAGTAAGTCATTAATACTTGTAGTTGTCTGTAAGCACAAATTGGTCAAGGCCGAAGAAGCTAGTGACAAAGATGAAAGCCTTGAGCACGTTTTTCCATGTTTCTGGTAATGTTTCCCATCAATTGCCTTGTGTGTGTGTGTGTGTGTGTGTGTGTGTGTGTGTGTGTGTGTTTCAATACTGAGTTGCTCTGTGTAACAGCTGTGGCTATCACCAACTCAATTTGTAGACAAGGCTGGCTTTGAACTCAGAGATCCACCTGCATCTGCCTCTGAAGACTGAGGATTAAAGGCTTTGTGGCCACCACAGGCATATCTAAACTTCCTTTCTGTGTGATGTGCCCTTCAACAGTCACATTAACAAATGTTTCATCCTGAGTGAAGTAACCCAGTCACAAAAAGACAAACATGACATGTACTCACTCATATATGGATTTTAGACATGGATCAGGATGGTGCCAGTCTGCACTTCCACTGACAGAGAGTCTGGGAAACAGGAAAGAACCTAAGAGAGATATGCATGGTACCCAAGAGAAGAGGAATGAGGCAAGACCTTCTGAACAGATTGGGAACACAGCAAGGGGTGGGGGGGAGTGGGAGCTGGGAAGAAGAGAGGGGGAAGAGGAAGAGAGAGTAGGTCATGGGGGAACAGGAAGGTTGAGTCGGAGATAGACTAGGGGGACGAGGGAATCATAGGTTAGAAGACCGATCAGGCACCAGTGTGACCTCTAGTGATCCACAGGGATGACACCAACTGACAAGTTAAACAATATTGGAGAGACCACCTCGAAGGCCCATTCCTGATAATGAACTTGATGTCTATAACCATCCTGGAGCCTTCATCCAATGACTGATGGAAGCAGAGGCAAACATGTACAGTTAAACACTGAACTGAACCTAAGGAACCCAGTGACAGAGAGAGAGAAGCGATGAGCAAATTGGCAAAGAATGGGCTGGCAAAACCAGCACAGATGGTTGATCTGAACAGGGGAGAGCTCTTGAACCCCAGACCAACAGCTGTGAGGCCAGCATGGGACAGATCCAGACCCCCTGAATGTGAGAGTCAGTGAAGAGTCCTGGGCAACCTATGGGGCCCTGGGCAGTGGATCAGTGTTTATCCCTGGCATACAAATGGACTTCGTGTGTCCATACCACAAAGAGGGATGCTCTCTCAGCCTGGACTCTTAGGGGAGTGCCTGGACCCTGCCCTGAGTGAAATGACTGACTCTAGATATCCCCTATGTGGAAGGAAGTGGCAATAGGGTGGGATGCTGGGGGGATGGTGGGGAGTGCAGGAGGAGGGGAGGGATGAGGAACTGGGATTGGCATGTGAAGCAAGCTATTTAAAATTAAAATAATAAAGTTAAAAAAGAAACGTTTCCTTGCAAGCTTCATTATAGATTGAAGGCAACTTTTTGCTTAAAGTGGGATGCTTTATTGAGGGAAATGGAAAGTGAGTGGA